CCTTAGACAAGAGGGGGTCGACCCTATTTTCCAGCAACCAACAGACAGACATAAGAGGGTCGACCTTCTCCCAGTCTGGTGTCTACCTTATTTTCCAGCAACTTCCCAGAAACTTCACCAACAGGTAAGGGTCGACCCTTAGAAAGGCTGGTGTCAACCCTAGAATAGAATTTCTAAGTTTCCAATGAACTTTTGGCAAGAACAAGTGTGAACAACCAAACCCAACAAGTTTAAATCGGATTATACTCCTCCAAAACCAACCCATAACAACACCAAAGATTTCCAAAATAAAAATAAAGGATTCAAATACACTTCCCAAAAGCTTTGAAGGACACAAGTGTTACATATTCTAAACTCTTTTTCCTCTTCATTCTCAATTAATTTTTTGGGTTACCCATGAGCTCAAATGTAGCATTAAGATGGATTCTAGATTTTTCGGCTAAATCTGTCTTGATTGCCTGTGATACAGATATCTTCCCTTGGGATAGTAACATATGCGTACATTTTGCTGGTACAAAGATATGATTATATTGTTCAACAAAATCACCAACAAAAAATTTCTGAATATTCCTATCCCACTTAATGATAAGTCGAGCTTAACAACCAGTCCTCACTTCCTGCCTAGGATTTTTTGTTAATGGATCACGCTTGTCGACAACCCGAAACCCCTCCTTATCACAAACAAATTGCCTTGAAGTGATTTGCCCCTCCTTGCTCTTGTTTACACAACCCCCTCTAATACTAAAGCCCAGCCTTCCTCCATAAGCATTATAGAAATCATATATTTCTTGTTCTGTATCAAATGTCATGCGAACTCTAGGCTTCCAATCACAATCACTCCCGTCATTCTCAACATTGTTAGGTTCCATATCAATGTGCCAAGTCACTTAAAAAATAAATAAGTGCTCAATATTAGCATAAAAACTGTAAATTATGTTAGCAAAATAATACAAACTGAATAAAAAAATTACAAGATTAACTCATATTAGATTATATAAACAAAGGGGAACGAATTCCTTTAATAGTAAATTATGTTTTCAATGATCCAGATTTAACCCAAATCCCTTCATTTTCTTATAATCAACATGTGAACATACAATATCAAAATTAAACAACAAACAAACCAAGCCAACAGTGATCAGAATTGGATTTTTCTTATAAATTAGAATCTAATGATATGTAAGAATTTAGAGATTTTAAATGGTACTGATCAATTTGACTCAATAACACAACATAAAAGCAAACAAAAACAGAAATTAACAATAACCAAAACCCAATTGGCTAGAGCATTGTGCATTGTTCAGAAACAAAATAAAAAAATTTTAAAAAAAATTAGGTATCTCACTGTAAAATAAAAAATTAATAATAAAATAAAAAACCAAAATATTTGTTCTAAACATGTGTAAAATAAAAAAAAATAAATAAAAAAACCCAAAATACCTGTTCTAAACATGTGTAATAATATAGAGAAAAAAAAACCCCAAATACCTGTTCTAAACATGTGTTCTAAACTAAAATACCTATTCTAAACATGTGTAATAATTAAAAAAAAAAAAAATAACCTATTCTAAACATGTGTTCTAAACTACTGTAAATACTTGTATTTTTCTTCAATCGGCTAGAGCAGGGGGTCGTCAGCTACAGGGCATCGGTGGCGGCACGAGGGTGGCGACGGCGGGGCGACGAGAGGCAGGGAGGAGTGGCCTCTCTCTCTCTCTCTTCTTCTCTCTCTCGCACTCTGTTTTCCTTTCCTTCTTCCCGCCTTCTGCTATACCTGCATATATGGAGGGAATTTTGAAATGAATATTTTTTTTTTTTCAACTTACTAACCAAAACGACGTCGTTTTGGTTAGTTTTAATTTCAGCTGTTGGGTTGGATCACTCTAGAAGATCACTCTAAGATTTTACTCCAGAAGATCTTAACGCTAGATGAACCCGTCAAGGTGTATATCTACGAGATTGAGATTAGTACCTATCTAGCTTACTTGAAGTGAAATCGAAATACCTCCTCTCCTCTGTGAGAGCCTCTCTATCCCCTGGTAGTTTCCTAGCCCCTGATAGTTTCCTTGGGTCTATCCCTTTGTATCTTCTTTAGCTTCTTCGGATTTCCACAGCCGAGGCTTTTTTTGAGCTCTCGTCCTTTGTAACTCCCTTGCCCTCCTTTTTTTCTGACCTTTTTTTGCCATCATCTCTGTCTTCTAGGACCTATTTCATTCCCTTAGGTTTCACTGTGGAGAATAGTCCTTTGATACCTAATATTCGTGGAGATCATTTGTAACAGTGAATTTTTGAATAAAGATCCCGATGAAGCTTTTGAGTACTTTGATTTACTAGCAGAGAATGTCCAATCTTGGGATACCACTGATACTCTAGGACATCTAAGTAAAACAAAGCCTTCTTCTATAGAAACTGGTAGTAGTAAGTACCAACTAAAAGATGAAGATGATTTAGGAACAAGAGTAGCTACTTTGACCAGAAAATTAGAGGTTGTGGAATTAAGGAAAGTTAATGAAATCACAATTGTGCCTAAAAGAGAAAAGGTTTGTGAAATTTGCAAAATCATGGGACAACCTAACACATGAATGTCCAACTAGTCCAACCTTTAAAGAGGTGTTGCATGACCAAGCAAATGCCATAAACACTTTTAAAAAGCCTGTTTCATCCCCATATTCTGAGACTTACAAATCTAGGATGGAAGAATCACCCAAATTTTAGTGGGAGGAATAATAATGTTGCACCACTCCCACATCCTCAAGGACATTCTAATTTTGTTCCATATGCTCCCCCTCTAAAGAATAACCTTGAGGATACATTGCAACACTTCATGCAAGGCCAAACAGTGATAAATAATCATACATCTTAGGCAATAGACGATATTAAGAACACCCTCACCAAATTTGACATTTTCATCGAGCGTTCAAGAAAAAGATAAATTTCCTGCTCAAGCTCAACCCAACCCACAAGGTCAATACGGTGTGAATGATTCTTCATCTTCTGACACTCAGCTTGAATATGTCAAATCTATTACTACTCTTCGCAATGGAAAAACTATTGACAAAACTATTCCTATGAAGGTCCCAAAGCCTAAGGATATTTCAAAAGCAGAGAGCAGTGATGATATTGACAGGTCCAAGCCATGTGAAGAAATGAGATGTCCAAATCCTGTCCCTTTTCCTCAAAGGTTGCAGTCCCCTCAGAAATTAAACCAAAATTCTAAATTTTTTGAACTTTTCAAACAAGTCAAAATCAACATCCTCTTGTTAGATGCAATAAAATAGATGCCGTCATATGCCAAATTTTTGAAAGATTTGTGTACAGTCAAGCGAAAGCTTAATATGCAAAAGAAAACCTTTTTGACAGAACAAGTGAGTGCAATAATTCAACAAAGTTTCCCACCAAAAGTTTAAGGATCCATAGGAACCATAGGATGTGCAATTGGGAACCATAGGATGTTAAAACGAAGGACATGGCTACATTCATGAAGAATGTTCATGCTCAAGTTAGGGCCCAAATTGAAAAGTCCAATGCCAAATACAAATCGGCCATTGATGTGCATAAAAGGAAAGTGTTTTTTGAGGTGGAGGATCTTGTGTGGGTTGTGTTGAGCAAAGAAATATATCCTCATGGTGCTTACACCAAGTCAAGTGATAGGAAGGTGGGTCCTTGTGAAGTGTTGCACAAAGTCAATGACAATGCTTATCAAGTCAAATTGTCACCTCATTTGACACCTTTAATGTGCAACACCTTGTGCCTTATTTGCTGGATGATTCTTGTACCAACGCCGCTTCTATCATTGTAGATTAGCTTCCTTTGTGAAATTTGTTTATATTGTACTTTCTAGTTTTTTGTTTCGCTTCTAGTGCATTAATTGTGTTTTGTTTGTCTTCACTTGAGGAAAAATTCTTTTGAGTGGGATAGTATGATGTAAGATATCATGTGCATAGCATGTGATAGTGGAGGGAAATTGTAGCTTATATCTAGAAGAGGCATAACCACTTTGTAATCAATTTTGGAATAATAAAAATTGATTGATTGAGAGCTTCTCTATAAATTTCTCTACATTATCTCTCTCTTGTTCTTGATTGGGCCCATCATCAGCTTGGAAGTAACCCCACGAGAAATTTGACCTAGGCTCTAATCTAAGGTTATATTTGAATCTCAAATTTGTGAAGGGAAATTAGAGGATTTTGTGGAAGGGTTTTAATGTTGCATAGACTAATCGTACAGTTCTTTAGCTCCTTTATTTTGCTAATCAATGAGAAAAGAATCGGCTATTTGGTTTGCTAAACCAAGACTTATGTTGTCTGGTCTGTAAAGAAAATTGCTAAATGTTTCACCCCCATGTAACAGAGGAGCTTGCTAAACCAAGACTTTTGTTGTCTGATCTATAAAGAAAATTGCTAAATGTTTAACCCCCATGTAACAGAGGAGCCGTGGATTTAGCAATCACCCCTACAAGTTCACCATGGCTTAAAGCAAAACTCCTTTTTTAAAGCATCAATTATATGTATATATACATATATATCATTTATTTTAAGGAACAAGACACAATAAATTACAGATTACAACATTGATTATATTCGACTCTGAGCAATTGCCTAAGTAGTCATGAAGAGCACACTTGGATGCCAAGGTGTATGAGGTTTCAAATTTGAGTCTATAGAGAGACGTTCATTTGACTCCGAGCAACTGCCTAAGTAGTCATGGAGAGTACACTTAGATGCTAAGGTGGGTGAGGTTTCAAATTTGAGTCTATAGACAACGTTCGCCTGCATTATAATATCTAACAACTAACATACTAACTGCTATTTTGTTTTTTCTTATTTATGTTATTGAAAATATTAGATATATTCAGGGGGAGGGGGAGAGAGAGAGTTATGTTCATGAAAAGACAGGTTAAATAATCCCTTTCTTTTTCTTTTTTTTCCTTCCACAAATTTAACATCCAAACACGGCCCTAAAGAGCCTAACTTTGCAAGCATGATGCATAAAAAAGTACAAAAGAAAAGAAAGCAGTAGCCAACTGTACTAGCATAAAGGATCCTCATCTGACAGTCATCCTATTACATGGTACAACCCACCACAAAAGTGGAGCAAATACAAAAACCAATTAATTTTGGTTGATCAAAAGTGAAACTGTGAAGGGATTACAATTCAAACTCTTCATTCTATATACAAATAAAAGAATTGCATTCAATTAGTGATTTTGAGTACTCTATCAATAGTGATTTCCTTAATATTTGCATCATCATAATGTACATTGCATTTTGCAGAATTAACAGCAGGCATGCATGTATCAAGGTTCTACAGCTATTATCTTTCTCCATTCTCCATGGTCAGAAGCAGCTTTATCCCGTCCAGTTAAATGGTTCACTTTTAGCTCCGTCACAGCTCGGGCATAATATAGTTAGTGCAAGTACACGCAAAAAAGATACCTGATCTGGAATTTATTTAATTTCGAGAATCCACGAGGTACATTCTTGGAGTAGTTGAAATTTCTGATGGACAGCTATGTTCAAGAAAACCTGCATTTTGTTCCGGAACTCAGACATGTCTTCCTTGCATCTAAATGAGCCAGCACAAGCACAATGCTCGGCTAAGTGTGCTGCTTTAACCTGGTTGCACTTGAGGCACACTAGGTCCTGCAGATGGTAGAGGCGTTCTCTCTGCCGTACAATCTGAAGAAGAGCGTTCTCCATTACTTCACGATCATAGGGCTGTCCACATTGTGGCACAGCACAGCGCCACTCTTGAGCCAATAAAGCTCGATCACGGCACAAGTCCAGGTCTCTGCAGTCATTGCAGTAGCTGTAGAGATATCATTAAAATTGGCAATTAGTTTCAACTTTCAAGGGTTTGAATATGATATAGTTGAATCCAGATATAATAAAAAAACAGATAATGCTTCATTGCAAAGATCAATCTATCCCGAAACTCCCCACCCATGTAAAAATAAATAAATAAAAAAAATTATAAAAAAAAAAAATTAAAGGAAAAGTCAAGGCCAAATTGCAAAAGCTTAATTCAACAAGGACTTAACATCTAATTACAAGGACTCAGGTAGGTACGGGTGTTGGATGTGGGTGTGTATCTAGGAATCGAATTAAAGCACTAATTGAAAGATATGATGACTCAATAGAAAAGAATCATATTTTTCTTTACTTTCTTAATATTTTGTGCGAATAAAATGGTGTTCTATGTAACACAGAGTCAAAAAAGGCACTCATTCATTTATAGCAATTATCCAACAAAAATTGCATTATGAGAGTGTTAAATACAAATATATAACAAGATTGAATTGATGGATATGCTTGCTATGTGTATATTTGATAGGAATTATCAAACACCTCTCGTACCCTTATCCAGGTATCTACTGTTTGACATGGGCACTTGATTTATTTTGGAAATCCATGTAATATAGCATTCAGCAGACAAATACAGTCATTGCTTCCACAAAATGATAAGTCACGAATGTTATTGTCATGATTGGCTTTCGCTCTAATCTTTATAAACATAAGTATCAAAATATTTCTAAGGAATGAAGTGAACAATTTTGTTCAACTACACAAAAGTGAGTTACCAGTGTCAATCTAGGACAATCCCATATTTTTTTTTTCTTCTCCAGTAGGTAATAATACAATGGGAAGGGAGAAAGTCAACACAGTAGAGTCAAGAGCAATAAGACACAATCCAAACACCACCTTCAAAAGTTGGGCCATTTTGTAGGTGATAGTTGGATTGCACCTTATTTCTTTTGGCTCCACTATGGCAACTTTCCACATCCGCTTGTATGATAACCTAGTGAGATCGACATTGGTATAGGACTGCCGCAAATATATAAGGTGAAATCAATCCTTAAAAAATTAGGCTCTTTGGAGGTGGCAATTGGAGATTCTTTATTCCTCTTGGCTCTCCAATATTGACTTTGGCATGGATTTGCATGCAGAGATCACTGGGATTTTCTGGCAAGTGGATTTCACTGAAATAGTTCCTCAAGATTATTTCGATTAGATCTTTGTCAGCTCTTATTTATGTTATTGAAAATATTAGATGTATTCACACAGCCAAAAATAATATAGAGAAATGTTGCCTACTTACCTGCAAATCACATTTGGTAAAGTGAAGGATAGCCACTGATCGTGAAACTCTGCTTCTGGAGCAAATTCCCTCACTCGCACATATTTTAACAGATTCTTCCTCATAATCTGCATGAAGGCACACAAATATCACTAAACTAGCAAGAGCAAAACCCAAAAAAATTGCAACAGCTCAGACCCAGTTGTAATTAAAAGTATAGCTTCCCTAGGACAAAAACAAACACAGACATCAGCTGCATTAAACATATTTTACAAGACAATTCCAGAAAATTTATGCAGGACAATTGCTTCGAGTTCAATGGATATCTATGCTGATTCTGCATTAATCATGATGATAGTTGAGCTAGGCATTTGAGGGGTGCTAGAGTCAGATGCTCAGAATTACACATAATATGGCTAAGCAATCCTTAGTTGTCAAGATGACACTCAAGGGCAGCCAAGGATGTCAGAATCGGGAGCCTAGGACAAGTATAGAAGGCATTTAGGATCAAGTTAAGAATCATCAGATTCTACAATACGAAGATATTCAGACGCAGACACATACATATTAATAACAAATCTCCAAAACGTTAATAAAAAAAATGCACAGATTGAGAAAGTTAAAGACAACATAATAACAAACAAGGATACTGGAAGATTCAAGCAAAAGAAGTGAGAACTTAAATATATGGCTCTAATCTGTTAGTTTGAACATAAGCTTTTCCAGCACTGGATTGACTTATAAAAATATATATAAACAAATAAAAAGTGCAGAGGAAAACAACAGTAGGAGGAAGGAGAAAAATGAAACTAGTGGCTGGGAGATGAGAGTGAAATAAAATAAAGCAGACTGAAGCTGGTAACATAGAACATCTAACTGCCAATCTCCCTACAAAAAATACCCGGAGAATATTACACCAATGTTGCAAGTACATAAAATATATAGATGAAAAAAGACTGTCTACATGACTTTATCAATACATTGATGCCAAAATATTTGAAACATGGCTTACCAGAATATCATGCTGAACATTTTGGTCAAGAGCCAGAACAGCACAGACATGCTTAATGAACTCTAGTGCAGGATCCCCCATATTGATATTATTGACTAGTGGATTCCCATCATGTTGGTCAATATTAGACTTGCTCGTTCCCTTCATATGAAGAATGGTATCACGAACAATCCTTAGAAGTTTATCTGCAAAGTAAGAACTGATCTGCAAAATCCAATTTACATGAACAGAATATAAGCAGCAGGAGGAATCAAGAACTTATACAAGCTTTGGCAACTAAATCCTATTTCATACTTGCTCCCTGAGATATTCTGTCATGTGTGACTCAAAAGTTTCTGCAGCTGCAGCAGTTATTGATGGAGTGCATAAGTTGCCATCCCTCAAAGATGCTCTAATTGCAGTTTGTTCTCGTGCATATTTCCATGGAATATACATAAATTCAGAGACAATCAAAATGAAGTGATCCTGTTTAACAGCCCAAAAGACAGTGATATCAGTCAGAATATGAAGAAAGAAGATCATATAAAATAATACATAGTAGCTCATATATGATGAAGCTTTTGATTAAATGATTTAATTTAACTATGTGAGTGTTTGGGAAGTTGCTATTTTAGTAGGTTATTTTAGTTTTTGGCTATTTTAGGAGGCTAAAATTTTTGTTTGGGAAAAAAGTTGGATTTTTTGTAGTTGGATGTGATATTTGTGAGAGAAAAAGTGAAATGATTATAGGTTTGATGTGATATTTTGTTTTATTGACTATTTTAGCCTATTTTGTCTTTTAGTGCTATTTTAGCCAAAAAAGTTTCTTCCCAAACACCCCCTATGTCATATTAAATTGCATAAAGTAATGTTTCAATATCACTTATATCTTAAAAGTACTAGTAACATAGAAAAACAACAGTTGAGTGACTACCTGAGTTGCCTTAGGTAAGTTTTCAGCAATATTCCAGCTTGAAACAATATCCACTTGAGATACATCATGCACAATTTCATTTTCTGGTTCAGAAATACCTTCTAATGTTTCACTATTGATTCTAGCTTGTATTCCACCATAATTGTACTATCATAGAAAAATTGGAACAAAAATTTGTTAGAACATGGAATCAAAACAGAATATATACTACTGCACCATAATCTAGAACCAATTAATGCACTCCATGGCTTTAATGCATTATATATTCTTTGTATAATATTTGACACCAAATTTGAAACACTTGCCAGAAAACTAGAAGGAATCTAAGGCTGATTTATCAGAATGCCTAACAAACGTAGTTTAAACATATAGTTCGAGAAACCAATTTTAAACCTCAAAACTGCCTAAGGATTAGAATTTTTCTAGCCTTTGAGTTCAAATTTCTCTAGCCTTCACTTATTCCGAGTCATCAAGTAGACTTCAGAATTTCTCTAAACAGAAATCTGGATGGTAGTACAAGGGCAACCAGAAGTTTGCTGTACTTGTCATGGTGCTTACTGCTCATACATTAAAACTAATTCCATGACCTTGAGGTTAATTCTCAAATTGGAAAGAGGAATTTTGACTAACATAGATGCATAATAAATGAAGTAGAAAAGTACATAGAGGAGAAACCACAATGTGCTAACCTGATCCATAAAAAGCAACGAACGCCAGAACTGCAGTTGTTCAAGCTCAATCCACTCAAATAGATCTCTATAACGATAAAACAAGGATTACAAAGGACAGGATAAAAGATGAAACCTATTGATAACAACTCTTTGGAATCTGGAAATAAAGACCAACCTAGTTTGCAGAGTTTTGAGTAAACTATCACAGTAAGTTTTGGCTGCATATAAATCTGACTTTCCTGTATCTATAATTACTTTTGAAAAGTTGGCAAATATGATTGTGGCACCCAACTTACGAAACTCCGCCAACAATAGTGCAAACACTTTTTGCATGACCTGTCAGAGTAGATAACAACGAATACAACTTGATTATAAATTTTTTTTACTGAAAATGTAAAACTGTTTCATATTTCAATCAAATTTGGGTACTTCCTAAAAAGATTTCCGTTTGGTTTAGTTTTAGAATTATGATTTGAGTGTGGAGTTATATTTTGAGTTTTAAGTTTTTGAATCATGATTTGAAAAGAGAAAAATTGTTTGGTTATGAATTTTGAAAATAGTATTTGTAATTTTTTTTTTATATATTTTTTATTGATTGATGTATAGAATGTGAGAGGAGAGAGGAGAGATAAGAGAGAAAAAATGATTAATTGATTAATAATAATAAATAAACACATAAGAGAAGAAAAGAGTTTTGAAAGTAATTTTGAATTGTATTTTAAAAATGTGTTTGGTTAACATGTTTCATCCAAATCATGATTTAAAAACAGAGCTGGGTTTTGAAAAGTAAACCAATCACCACCTTAGTAATCATAGAAAGACCATCTAATTATTATCATATCTCATATTGGTGTATCTGTTTTAGGTAATTGCACACATTACAAATAATTGCGTCATTGAAAATAAAAAGTATAGAACAAAACAAAAACAGAAACAGAAACAAAAACAAAAAAAGGTCCAGTTAAATAAACATTTATAAGAGATACAAAAAGAAAAAGAAAAAAAGAAATGCTTCTGGTTTCTCGCACACAAAGCAACCTTTGAGTTTGTATTTGAATAAGCGTTTACCTTATGAAGCATACGGTGAAGAGCTGGGTCATGCAGTTTTGACTTTGGGCTGCAACATAAAGACGGAAGGGTATAATTAAATAAGTCTCCAATAAGATGCATATTTGACAAGTAAACACCCTACAACCTGCAAAGCCATCGATATAAATGCTGCAATATTGCATCAGCAAATACATTTCCAGATGTAACTGCATCTGCAAGGCATCTTTGGATCAATTGTTTGAGAGCACGGAATGCAGGTGCACATGAGGTAGCCTCATCAAAGCAACACTCTTCATTGAAAATATGTGATCCGGGATTCAAATCCTGCTCAAACCCGAATAAAGCACCTCCTTCCATTTCATTCACCTGGTTGCTTTTCAGAAGAGCATCAACAGCCAGGTTATGAATCTGCACAAAGTAAAGAAATAGATAAATAAATTGATCACGTGGTGTATGCAATCATCTTAAATGGACAAAGAAAATAAGGGGGGGAAAGGGATAAAACACAATCATGCACCTTTAGCTCTACAGTAACTTTCCTGTATGCCCCAGGATAAGTAAGAACAGGTTGATTGACCTATTTTGCATAAAAAACTAGTTAGTCACAGAAAAGTGAGACTTTGATAGAGGCCAGCACAAAAGAATTCCAAATGGACCACAACAGCAGCATCACCAAAAGCTACCAAATCAACCTATTCCTGACACCAACCTCATCAGCAAAACATGACTCTTCTTCATTAATGCCACCTAGGTCTGGAATGCCATTATCAGATATCCAAAGTACCTGTGAGAGAAAGGATGTATTTTTTCAATTTTTTATTCGGAATGTATACATAAAAGACACGCATCATAAACACTTGTCAGGTTTGAATAACTTAGAATTTCAACAAAGGAACTTAACAAAAATGCCAACACTACAATCACGGGTATGAAAAACTAAAGCACTGAAAAAATTATGTCAGAAATGTGATTCCAAATACAACCTGTTGCTGATCACGTAATGCTCTCGAAAAGAAGATATCTGCTGCATGCATAAGCCAATCAAGTTCAAAATTCCCTAATGGAACCTGCACCGGTAAGATCAATAAGCATTCATAATTTGTATTAAGGGATACACACTAAGGAAAGAAAATATAGCTATGTAAATAAAATATTTACATGAGCATATTTTGAAAGAGAAATTCTCTCATTCAACCACTGAGATGATGCAGCACATCGTTGCATTCCAATTTTTGCTGCCACAATTTGCCACCCAAGAGCCTAAATATGGCAGGAAGATGAAGTATTATATGGTTGCCCAGATGCAAGATAGAAATGAAAATCATCAAAGAAATGGATGCAGACAAATCAGTTGCTTTGTCAAAATTGTACTACCTGATAGTTACTGTCACGAGCATTACAAGGGATGTTCACACATGGGAAATCATCCAGAGCACGTATGCCTGACTTCATCAGATGAACATTTGGGCACTCAATGACTGCAATTGTAGGTGCATGATGCCGTTGCCTGCAAACAAATACAAGTATACAAGGAAATCAAATTAAGCAAGTTAAAACAAATTAAAGCACATTATCACCAGCAAATAGGTTGAGGCCTTCTAAAATGGAGACTTAAAAGGACTACTTTAGTCACTTAAGGAAGTGAACTGCTAAATCCCCCTCTCCCCCCACTCAAAAGAACAAAGAAAAAAGAAAAAGAACTCATGCCCAGTTAGTTAAAAAAATCAGGAGTCCCAAAAAAGACATCCAATGATAGTAGTTCAAATGATGATAGAACAGTTCATATCATTAACTTTTTATCCCTTAAAATAAATATTCACTGCACAAAAAATATAACAAGAAGCTTCATTATACAGACTAGGAAGCACATATACTTCAAATATGTTGAAGTATTAGGGTCCGATACACATCCGATATGTATCCTCAAAAAACTTCTTTACACAAACACCCTTGCTTTCTACCTCTATAGATTCATACACAAATCAAATCAACATACAACACCCAAAAAGAAAAGAAAAAAATGAGTCTTAGTAGTGGAGCATCTTCAACTGTCACATATCCATGTTCTCCCCTGAAGGTCATCTCTTCCAAGTCGGTAAACATTATACTTGCTAATTTGTCAATCTCCATATCCAATTTCAATAATAATCAGCTCCATCAATTTGGAGTTTTTCAATCTTCATTCTAATATTTCAGAATTTGATTTTGAATAGAGTTTACTTTCAAGGTTGTGAAGGCTGCTGAAATAACCTCATTTAGCATGCCTAGGAAGGATTCGGTTCATGTTGTTACACAAAAGAATGTGTGTGAGGGATGCATAATTAGGAGAGAAATACAAAGTAGAGAGAGAGAGAGAGAGAGCCCAGGGCACATGAAGGGGTTGCTTTCACGCATTTTTTTCTTTTAAGGCAACAGATCTTTTACTATCATGAGTGCTTTAAAAGATCAGTTTCCATACAAACTAAGTGCTAAGAAAGCAAAACTCCATAGCCACCACCACGGGGTCTGTACCTGAGAAGGCAAGGAAAACTCTAACACGCAAAGTACTTGTGCAAAAATAGTTAAACTTTTCCCTACCAAAAAGGACATCTTCCATTGTGCAATTATAGCAAAATTAATAAATAGGTGGACAAGGACTACATCAGTGGTTATCCAAATGGTATAAACATCAGGAATAGTGAAGATTTAGCAGTAAAACTGAATCAGATTTCACTCTCAATGTTGGCAGGACCCCCATTATCGAGAAACATGAATAACAAGTCAAACCTGTGCTCATTTATTGTTCTTTGTAAAATCTTATCGGCATCTTTGACATAGGCAACATAGTCCACCTGAATAAAAGCATGCATGATAAAGTAACAAAGATAAGACCTATTGAAAGGCAAAAAGAAAATAGAGAAACTTATATGCCAACAAAATAAGAAGTTCACCTTAAAATTGATACTATCTCTAGGAATGGGAGGTTCAATTGACAATGCTTGGCAAGCCTCACGGAATTGTTTTTCTAGAATATGTGGTGATAATTCCTTATTCTGGAAAGGATTAACCACCACAACTGATATTGTCCTAGATGCAGGAAAATATCCAACATACATAGCTCGTCCCTCAGATATGCTGGAAAGAAAACATATAAAAGTTTTCAGAATTATAATTTTTCTTCTTTTCCCACAGGTTCTTGTTTCTTTTATAAAATGCAAAGAAAAATTGCATGACTTAAGAAGAAAGTAAGCAAGCTTCCATAAGACAGACTAATAATGCTTTCAGTCCTTGTCAGTAATACAATGTCAACTTAAAAGCTTAAAAGGTCAACAAATCGTTGCAACATCTTGGTGTGGAAATGAGAGAATCAAGTTACCAATACATACCAAATAAAACAAATATCAATATAAGCCATTAACTTGGTGTGGAAATGAAAATTGGCCAGAATGCAATATTCGATGCATTTTTCTTCTAGGCAAACTTTACCCTAATGTACTGCATGCCCAAAACTTATAATATGCATGAGACATCTGGCTCAAGCTGAATCCAAACAAAATATAATGTCATAAATAAGCATATAAACTGTTAGAATTTACCACTCACCTACTACCTCCACTATCTTTCTCCACACCTACCACCTCCACTATCACACACTCCACTACCATCCACCTCCACTATCACACACTCCACTACCATCTTCTCCTCTATATATAGGAATTGTAATATACAGAATAAACAACAATCTTGTAAGCATACATCAATCAATATTACATGTATTTTAACATAAACCTTGTGAAAAAATACTTTCAAATTAAGATAACTGAATGATGCATACTCATGTCATTGTTTGCTAAAAAACTATTGGTTATAATTACAGTTGTACCTTTCGTACAAAAAGACAAGCAATTGTATCATAGTCATAATTCGACAATTTACCTATGATACAAGTAAAAGAAAGAAATTGACTGTTCCAGATAAGAGCATTCTGTTGTGGTCTTCATATGCAATTCATCCAGGCTCCAGCCATCTTGGGGATTTCGTTTCTTAGCTGCTTTATCCACTTTACAAACACAACCAATCTGAAGGATAGCATTAAATTCCACCGGCACATTTGTCTCGTATATTCCCTGATCAAAGACACCCATCAAGTAAAATTGAAATTAATATAATCAAACTACTAAGATTCACCATGAAATTGAGATTAGTAGAGTAGTGAATAGTTTGCCACCCAGAAAACAGAATTTTGAAATACAACACTCTGACAGTGCTTGTAAAGTGGATGGGTCACAAGACTCTTAAAAAAAGAACAACGGTTCTAAGATTAATGTTTAAATGACCATCAAATTATATTAGATAAAAGTTCAAAACTTATCAATCCAATTAATGTATACAAATAGATTTTGAAGCCAAAACCATACTTTGACGAGTATATATTAAACAACAAAAAACTGCAGTTACGGATTCTGAAACATCAAGCTGCAGAAGTAAATGTATCATTTTCTTTCTTTCATTAACCCCCCCCCCCCCCCCCCTCTCTTTTAATGAAAACAGAAGCAAATGTTTTGTAAACAATAAATTATACCATTTATGGGATGGGAGCTCATTACAACAAACATAGGTTCCTAGGAAGTACTAGAACAGTGCTTATTGTTGGAAGTAATTATTGTCCATATATGTGACCTGCTCTAAGAGTAACTGGAACAAGCAAACACAAAATTAAACATGGAGAAGAAACTTCATGGTGTAAAACTTATGTTTTAACTACAGAAAAGACATGGATAACTAACAAAAACTCATAAGCATTAATATCTACATAGTATTTGATTTCTAGTAACCATATGTCCTACACAAGGTGTGCACACAATCCGCATCAAGTTTGCTAACCTCAACTTCTGGATCTGCAAGATGAGCTGCAAGTTTCTTGCTTTCTGCCCTAAACTGATCTTCATCAATTATTACCTATTAAAATGAATAAAAAATAAAAAGAAGTAAGACCTCAAAAGCCTTTCGGTTGGGCAAACAATTCTGCTGGACTGCAGTTCCAACTACTATTAGAATATTTCCTTATTTAGATTAGATTGTAATTGATTGATTGATTGATTGTGATTGATTGATTGATAGTGATTCCTTAATCAGTGCCTTAGGGCTTCCTTTTGTAACAGTTGATTGATTAATATAAAAAGAGATGATATCATAATCTTCACCTAAGTTTTGTATTCCCTTAAATTGCATGGTATCAAAGTCAAAACCCTAAAAACCATCACCGACACAGACGCCGTCACCAACCAGCCATCACCTATCACCACCCATCCTCCACCGCTGGTCCCTGATTCTCTGCCGGAACCAACCAAGGTCCCACAGAACTGTTTCGGCTTCAGCCGAAGGCCTCTCTGGCCTAGCTAAAACATAGCCAAAGTCAGTAGAAGGGCTCTCTGCCCTAGTAGACCCTTCTGAGGGCTGTCCTAGCCTCTCTTTGTGTATTTCGGCTCCTATGGATGAGTGTTTGAGGGTTGCCTATCTTCTGTTGCCCCAAGTTTCTTTCCCTCTACTTTCTTGAACATAGTTCAGCACTTGATTTGATTGGAGGTTCATTTTCCCGTATTTGATTTATTTTTTGGATTCATAGATGACCCATTAATCTGACTGTTATGCTCCCATAGTGGTTTGTATGTGACTTTGCTTGTTCCAGCCCATTCCATTCCTCTTTCCATTCTTGTAATTCGTGCAAGGTTTTCTAGGTTGAAATTGTAGAGTTTTTATGGCTGACCTAACTAATGAATCCATCACTACTTCTCACCCATCTAAAGGGAAGAGCTCCAATTCAGTTATGACTACTACATCTGAAAACCTAAACCCTAACCTCAAATTCACCACCGCTCTGTTTAATGGTCAGAAATTACCTTTCATTGTCTTAGTGTCTAACACTTTTTCTGAAGAATAGGGGGAAGATGGGATATGTTAATGGGAAAGTTCAAGCACCAATTATTACGAATCCTGACTATGACCAATAGGAGATTACCAACTCTTTAATCATGGGGTGACTCATTCATTCCATAACTCCTAAGATTGGTGAAAGCTACTTATCCATGGATACTGCCCAAGATATTTGGGAAGTTGTCGCTGCTACATATTCTCGGAAAGGGAATTTTTCTCAGTCTTTTGAGATGCGCCGATCTATTGAGTGCTCCGCATAAGGGGAGTAGACAGTTTTCTAATATTACACCTTTCTGACTAATGTTTGGAAACGCCTGGATCATCTCTTGGATTACAAGCCAATCTGTACAGTGGACTTGGTTACCGGAAGTTTCTTGCACAGGAAAAGGTCTTCAAGTTTTTGGAACGTCTCAATGTGGAGTTTGATCCAGTCCGGAGTCATATCCTTAGCATGGATGTTCTTCTATCTCTTTAGGAGGCCTTTGCATATGTATAGAATGAGAAGATTCATCGTTCCTGCTATGTTACAACAGCTACTGGGGACCGTTCAGCCTTACTTTCTGCTCCTTCTTGAGATGGGTCTAGTCTGTCATTATCTTTTTCCCATCCTTCAGTGAAGGATATTGTGGTCTGTGATTACTGCCGCAAGCTGCGGTATAGTCGTGAGACATGTTGGAAGCTTCATGGGGCTCCATCAGGGAGTCAAGGTGATCGGTCTGGTACTAGAGGCGGTCGATCAAGCTAGTCTAGAGGACATGGTTCTAATCCACGGGCCCATCAGTCTAGTGTTGTTGACATTCTTGATTCTACTTCCGCTTCAATTGGTCCGACTTCTGATAGCTTATCTAGCATGACTTCTCCCTCAAGGATGTTCTGTGTCATTTGTTGGACCGTCGGTCTTCTACTGCTCCCAGTACATCTTCCTTGTCGTTTGACTACTCAAGTAACTTAGCCTCTTCTCCTAGTGCTTTTATTTCCCATCAGTCTTTGCCATGGATCATTGATTATGATGCCTCAGATCATATATCTAGGTCTTCTAACCTTTTCTCAACATATAAGCCCTCTTCAAGTCAAGACAAAGTTAAGATTGCAGATTGTACTGTTTCTTCTATCTCTAAGAAAGGTTTAATTCATGTCATCCCTACCTTACCTTTGTCTTTAGTGCTCCACATTGCTAATTTTTCTGTTAATCTTTTTATCCTTGAGTCGTATCACTAAGGATTTGAACTATAGTGTGACATTTTTTTCCTGATCATTGTCTTTTTCAAGACCTTGTCACAAAGAGGACGATTGGCAATGGTAGTGCAGAAAATAGTCTCTATTTCTTGGATCAAACGAACAAGCTTACTCATCGTTCCATCCAGTTCCCAACCACCAAGGAGGATTTATGGCTATGGCATTGACGTCTTGGGCATCCTTCTTTTCATTTACTTAGGCATTTATTTCCGTCTGTTTTTACAAACAATAACGTGTCTGAGTTTCTTTGTGAGTCTTGTCAACTTGGCAAACAATGCAAAGCTTCTTTTGCTCCAAGTCTTAATAAAAGTTTAGCTCATTTTTCTTTAATACATTATGATGTATGGGTTCATCTCGTGTTGTCTTTGAAAGGCCATAGATGGTTTGTTATCTTTATAGATGAGTTTTCTCGTACTACTTGGGTGTATCTCATAAAAGAAAAAGTGAGATTTTTTCTGTGTTTCAAAAGTTTCATAAAATAATTTGTACTCAATTTGGGACAGTTGTCAAACTTTTGCATTTGATAATGGGGGTGAATACATCGATTCGAGGTTAGAGAGCTATTTTTTCACTCATGGTATTATACATCAGACATCTTGCACCAATACCCCTCAATAAAATGGGGTTGCGGAACGCAAAAATTGTCATCTTCTTGATATGGCTCCCTGCATCTGTCTTTCTATGAGTGTGCCTCGGTCTTATTGGGGCGAGGCCGTTCTCACCGCGGCCTATCTCATTTAATCATCTACCTACCCAATTGTCACAAAAACAAGCTCCATTTTAAGTCCTCCTAGGTTCAAAGTCTTCGTTTTCCATTCACCCTAAAATATTTGGTTGTCTGTTTTGTTCACAATCATTCTCCTACTCGTGGTAAGTTGGACCATCGCTCTCTCAAGTGTGTGTTCCTCGAATACTCGTATATTCAAAAGGAGTATAAGTGTTATCACCCTCCTTCTCGATTTGTGTCCATGGATGTCACCTTCTTTGAGTCCTAGTCCTACTTGTCTTCTCTGGTGTCCTAGTCCTCCCTTCAGGGGCAACCTTGGTGTGAAGAGATTCCTGATGTCCCTGTTGCTCCTATGGTGGAACCAGTTGTTTTGGCACCACCTATTACTGAGACTATAGAACCCAATGCCACCAAAGACATGGAAGGGCAAGTTTAAGTCAGGGACAAAGACAGACATAAAGTTACTTGGATATAAGAGACCACTTCTGCTCACCCACTGCCATCTCCTGCTTCTGACAAGAGTCCAAATAAATGAAAACCTCTTGTTTCTCTTGAGTCTACTGATATTGCTATTCCTAACACTAATGATCTTGATCTTCCTATTGCCAAAAGAAAATGTGTGAGATCTTGTACTCAACATACTATCTCAAACTTTGTGTCTTACTTTCATTTGTCTTCCTCGTATAGAGCTTTTGTGTCAAACATTTCCTCTGTTAGTATTCCTAACCATTTTCAGGATGTTCTAGCTATTTCTGATTGGAAATTTGCCATGATTGAGGAAATGAAAGCACTGCATGAGAATGACACTTGGGAATTAACTGAATTACCTAAAGGCAAACAACCGGTGGGATGCAAATAGGTGTATACTGTGAAGCACAAAGTAGATGGTTCCATGGAGCGTTACAAGTCTCGACTTGCGGCAAAAGGCTTCACTTAAGCTTATGGAGTAGACTATCAGGAGACGTTTGCACCAGTAGCTAAGATGAATTCAGTCAGAGTATTTCTCTCTATCAGTTAATTTAGATTGGTCACTTCATCAATTTGATGTAAAGAATGCTTTCTTACTTGGTGATCTAGAAGAAGAGGTATATATGGACATTCCTCCTGATTTTGAGGATCATCAGACAAAGGGGAAAGTCTGCAGGTTTCGGAAGTCGTTATCTAGTCTCAAACAGTCTCCAAGGGCTTGATTTGAGAGATTCACTCAGTTTATGCTTAAATATGGTTTCAAACAGAGTCAGGCAGATCACACTTTGTTTGTAAAACATTCCTTTCGTGATAAGACTACAGTTCTCATTGTTTATGTGGATGACATAGTGCTTACCGGTGATGACAGTAAGGAAATACCCCTATTGAAGAAATATTTAGCTAGTGAGTTTGAAATCAAAGGCTTGAGAAACTTGAAGTATTTTCTAGGAATCGAAGTTGATCGCACCAAGGATGGGATTTTCATCTCACAAAGGAAATATGTTCTTGACCTTTTGAAAGAAACCAGTATGCTTGGATGTAAGTGTGAATTATGTATGTAGTTTATATTATTCATTAAGGATAGTTTAGTACTTTAGATTATTAGGGATTATTAGGGTTTCGTTTATATATTTGGAACCTAATCAAAAACTTGGTAATGATGAAGGAAGAGCAGCTGTTGATAGGGAGAGTTATCAGCGACTAGTGGGTAAGCTCATTTACTTATCTCACTCTTATCCTGATATTGCTATTATTGTCACTGTGGTTAACCAGTTTATGCATTGCTCCTCATCAAATTCACTTAGAGACTGTTATGAGAATTCTGAAGTACTTGAAATCTTCTCCTGGCAAGGTTTTTAATTTTTCCAAACACGATCACCTCATAGTGGAAGCCTATACAGATGCTGATTGGGCATGGTCAATAACTGATAGGAGATCTACATCAGGACATTGTACCTTTGTGAGGGGCAATCTTGTTATTTGGAGGAGTAAGAAACAGAATGTGGTGACTAGATCAAGTGAAGAAGCTGAGTTTAGAGCTATGGCATAAAGTGTTTGTGAACTCTTGTGGATCAGACTGTTGTTAAGTAATCTGGGGATGGGCCTGCAACTCTATCCGACTATATTGTGATAATAAGGCTACCATCAACATAGCTCACAATCCTGTTCAACATGACAGGACAAAGCAAGTTGAGATTGATCGCCACTTGATCAAGGAGAAACTCACCAGCGACATAATATGCATTCCTTTTGTGAAGTCAGGCGAGCAACTTGTAGACATCCTCTCCAAGGAAGTTGGGAGTAAACCATTTCATAACATTCTAGGCAAGCTGGACATGAGAGACATCTTCGCACCAGCTTGAGGGGGTGTTAGAATATTTCCTTGTTAGAATATTTCATTATTTCCTTATTTAGATTAGATTGTGATTGATTGATTGATTGTGATTTCCTTAATCAGTGCCTTGGGGCTTCCTTTTGTAACAGTTGATTGATTAATATAAAAGGTGATGATATCATAATCCTCACCTAAGCTTTGTATTCTCTTAAATTACAACTACAAGTACCTCAATCAAGTTATAGGTATGGCGTCCATGAGGAAGAATCTTGTTGACACGCCTTCCAGGAAATTCTTCAGTTATAGGAGCTTTAGAGTTCAGATAAAAAACTCTGGGTATTTTTATGGGAATCTTACGCATGACTCCTTCTACAACTGCCCAAGCAAACAATTGGCCATGTTGCAAACTTGATACAAGTTGAATTATCTGAATCAAACAAAAATGAATTCAGCACTCACAAAAACACAGACTGAAGGTAAATTCTCAAACATGCATAAAAATCTACATCACCTGCCAGTGACAGCGTGTAAGGGCTAATTCATGCCTCTCAAAATATGAATTGACCCCAGTTTTTCCCCGAGTTTGTTTCTGATTTATAATACTATCCAGCATCTCAAAATCACCATTAGCTTGGTTTAATGTCTTTGAATTTCCCAACCTGCCAAATTAATTATGCCCGAAAATTAATCTAACAATCATTCAGTAAATGAATATCAATAGTAAAATATGTGATCAAAAAAACACACACAATAGTTGTAGAATAAGAATACAAGGGGTGTGGTGCAGCCATTTTAGGATGAGTAAAGACGATCTCAGACTTCCATGCAAGTTCCAATTTTTGGTGAGAATTTGAAACAGTTCAAAAGAAGGGGTTTCTATTTGAAAATAATTTAGAAAGTAGTTTTCATTTGTGGGAATTCAAAGTCAAAAAAGATTTTTTTTAGGGTCATCCGTTGAACTGGTAATCATTTAAAGGAGCTTCAGCAGAACAAGAGGATTGATCTTAAAAGGAAGCCCCAAATGGGGGGAAACTGTATGATTTTGCAGGGACTGTCTGATACCCATACTCCTTGTTGCTCCAAAACTTCTACAAATCATAAAATTTGTGGAAGAGACACCACAAGAGAGGAAATGATAAAAAAATATGATTGTTCTCAGCCACGAATTCTACAATCTTGATTTTATAAAAGAGGTCATCAAAGTTGGCATTTGTACATAGGTTCCAAAAATAGCGTACCTTTGCCGCTTCCTTTTCTCACGAGTATCTTTCCACTTTCTCTTCCTTATTTCAAGCCATCCTTGATAATCCACATTTCTGTCAATATCTTCTATATTTATAATATTTTGTTGCAGAGGTGACAATGGTTGGCACATACTTCTGCCTCCATTTTGTTTCTGCGGCGAATTCACTTGACAGCTTGCCTTAACTGAATGCAGTCCATTATTGACTTCATAACAACGAACAATAGGCCTAATTCCATTGACAGAAGATCTGCCTTTGCTCTTGAAGTCCTCCAAATCATTAACATTCTGCTCATCTGTTATTTGATTGGTGGTCATAGCATCAATACTCATTTTAACCACACCATCCTTCTTCAGTGAGCTGAAGATATCAACCAATTTCCGTTGGCGAAATTTGTCCTCCTTCTCACGAACCTTCTTATGTAACCAATCAGGATGAACTACCCTAGGTACAGGATTGGCAACCTGAAGAAATCTAACTACTATGAGAAATGAAAACATAAAAATCACTCCAAAGGATAAGAATGAACTAGTATCAGCACCTTCTGCATTACAGCAGGAATGGTAACAATTTTCTGAATTGCCGAACTAAGCCGTTGCTTGTAGTAGGACCAATCAATAATGGATCGGATGCCAACATCTGATGAAATCTTGCACCACTTCCGTACATAAAACTTCATAATTTCTGCAAAGAAAACACACACGCACATATATATATAAGTGTTCTCCTTTGTGTACAAACAACATAAGAATATGGTTCGAGACAACTAATTAAGAACTTTACCAGGATCAGTTTCAAATATTGCAACAGGAACAGCACGCTCACTTACTGGTGTCCCCTGCTCATATTGACATTATAACCAACCTTGAATTTATGTGTCAAAAGAAATTTACATTTTTTTAAAAAAAGTAAACCAACAGTGATGCACAATGAAAATGTGTGAGATAACAAGAAGAATAACAGAAACACAAGCACAAAACAGATTGAAAAAACGCATCCCATAAGATTAATCAATGTAATCACTAAGATTCTAGTTCTATATAGTTTTTGGGCACAATCCATACGTACATATTAGGATTGTCTTCAAGCAGCAATGTGTTTTTTTTTTTTTTTTTTGGTTTGGAAAATTTAAATTTTAGGGCATAAAAAATGTGATTAATGTGAATCAAACATTGATTCTTTATACTGCAACAGAACAAAACGGAAAAATGTAAAGAAAAAATAAAAACATAACCTAGAAACAGAACTCCCAGGGAAATAAATACAAAGAAAACAAAACAAAGAAAAAACCAATTAGCCTTCTTATGATCTTTTAATTCATAGGTTACTCATATTTGTCTAGACAGACCAAAAGAAGAAGAAAATAGGAGCAAAACAATCAAGACATAAACAGGAACATATATTCGATATAAGTTACAGCAATGGTTGGTTTGAAGCATATTTTGATGAAATAACTGATGGAAACACTGAGCTTCTTGGAATTTCAATATGCGTATGCAGGATGTATCTGCAATTAGTTGTAAAGGCAAGATAAAAACACCACAAAAAAAGAAGATAAAAGTTGAAGTAGCACGAGGGATGGCAACTATCAGATCTACGAGGATGGATGGTGGATTTGAAAAGATATAACTAGGAATCTCAAGAATCTTTTGATGCAGATGTTATCTCATACATCTCATTTAGTATTAGTGTACATTAAAGAAATCAAAACAAATACTGCACTTATATGAGAGGCTTAGAGTACTAATAAATATCTAGAATCAAGAGATGGCTAAAGTTATAGTTGGATGATCACATATACGGAAACCAACTTAAAGGACAACTATATCACCTTAATTTAAGCAAAAACTTGAAAACCTTTGTAGAATGTTCGGATGAGAAAATTGACTAATTTGAAGCCAAAAAGACATTTCTAGACAGATAGGTAGAATAATGGATAAACCAAGCAAGAAAGTGACTAGTGGGAAAACAGTGGCTTAAAACTCATTACTTCTGGAACAGCAGCATGGACAACAATGGTTCCAAATAATAGTGATCTTATTTCAATTGGCCAGTCATACATGTTAAGTCATCAACTGTCACAAAAACTTAAGTTGTTAGGCAATAGGCCCGACAATAGATATCAATTTATCCAACACCCTCCCTCACATGAAGATGCAAAGAGATACACAATTGTACACAGAGAATTAGAACACAAATGGAAACAAACTCAAACAGAGAGACTTGAGCCCAAGACATCTCTCAACCTAAGCTCCAATACCATGTTAAGTCACAAATTGTCCCAAAAGCTTTTGTTAAGAAATGTGCCCAATAATGTATAGCTAGCTATCCAACAATACAAACTACAATGGAGTTGATGATGCAGTTATAGTTCCCAATGATGCTGACAATTCCCAATGCATAGAACAGATTGGTAATATCATACACTTGAGCTGACAATCATAGCACATTTGATTGCAATGTTGTAAAGCATATAAGAAAAACTAAGTGGGTATATGACAAAAAATTGCTCACAACACCAAGGTTACAACCAAGAAACCTTCCAGGTCATATAACAAAGATTATATGCAAACTGATAGCCTTGCTGCAAATTAATAGTAGCAGTAACATAGCTACGGTTATGGAGAGCGGTCACATCATAAGGCCAAGGGTACACAATCTAGAAAATTATACAAAACTGGTTCTCTCTATCCTATTCTGCGGCCGCTAAAGATTGCTTATATGTTTTCTGTCAACAATACAACCAACATCAGCACCAATTGAAGTTCAGTGCTACAATTATAATAAAAATTGCCATAAATAAACCCAGCAATTTATAACGCACAGAAACCTGCTAAAGATTTGTTCCCTAAGAGTTTTGTTCAATTCATTTTTCTTTTCTTTTCTTTTCTTTTTCTCATGGTGTTTCCAATCATATCTGAGGCAATTTCACAGTTACAACAGCATAGATATTCCAGGAAAAGTATCACAAAAGAGCGATTAATGAATGTAAGAAAATACACATGTTTAAGTTGAAGAAAGATAGTTACTTTTGGCTCACATGCAACAACATATTGGCAACGTAGTCCTTTGTCTTTAACCATTGTATCACCAAGAAAATCAGCAAGACGTTTTGCAGTGGTTACTGCACATGACTTTTGTTCACCATAGTCCACTAAGGACTTGCTCATCGTGCTTGATTCTGATATGTAATCAAGCAACTCACTGTCCGCAATATCCTTGCCTTGATTCTGACAAAGTAAAAATTTATGATAATCATACTCCTTTGATCCTTGACTCAAATATGCAATCAACATTGTTTTTCCATAACCAAGAGAAGCAAATATTTGAAAAAATTAAGTATGTCATTCTAGGTGATGCTTTGAACAAAGAATATTTATCTTCCAGACACAAGTTTTTTTTTTCACATACATCAAGAAGATCAAGCCAACGGTTTGCAACAGAAGCAACTGCAAAGTAGCATTCCTCTAAGGTTGACCCATGAAGGAATTTGTCAAAAAGCTCAGCCTGCAGACAAGTATTTCAAGCTTGAAGATAACAATCTAAAAATAGATTTGTGAATCATGTATACATATAAAGCATCTGAAGACACTATAGTGCTAAAGCATAAACCATATGGAAGCAGCACCATACTCCAGCTATGTTAGGCAACATATTTCCACAGTATAGCAAACAAATCAATTCAACAAAACCTTTTGAGGACATAAATAGAACCAATTTTCTCCTCATACTCATTCTTAAAATACCAATTTTTTTTCTTTGGAAGGGGTGAGGAGGAGACAGATATTGAGGATAATATAACCTCTAAACAGGTATGGTGAACGTAGACTCAATCATCCATCGCCGATGGTTCGGCCACAATTTTCACATTCTATTCCATTTGATATTTAGTTGGTGTCAGGACTGTCAAAAGGACAATTTCAATAGCGGCTATTTTGGTAATTCAAGATAACCATTTGTTATCAAATCCCTGGAGGATTCGATTCTATATTTTTTTGAGAGGTAGTCCAAAGAAAATAGAGCTTAGACTTCAAAACAAGGTTGTTCATTGGTCACGTAATAGAAAGACTATTGCCGCTAATTTTCACTAAAACTAATTAAATTTAAAACTTGAAACATTTAAAGTGACAGATACGTTGTGGAACTTCTGCCTCAAGACAATAGAAGGGCATGCAAAGTTCATCGTTTTGTCATGTGAAAACAATGAGATGTGCATGTGTTAGAAACATTTCACCATGGATATGGTTATTTTTGGATTTTCAAGTTCCCCCACATTGAAAAACACTTATAGCATCTAAACTTCCATTGTGGAGGAATGGACAAAAGAATTGCAGTTAGCTTACAAATAATAAAAGGAAAATTCTAAACAACATAAAATTTATACAAAAAAACTTGACAAGAATGATCTGGCATTGTCATTATTGTAAATAAATCCATCTTCAATGGTGTTTTGTTTTGAAATGAAAGGCCCACAATGAGCCACATCATTATGTATGAGTTTTTTGTTTTTATAGCATTACTCATAATAAAATATAGGAACTGTGACAACCCTATCCCACATCAGAAGTTTGCATGGGAAATCTTGGGTATAGAAAGCACCACTAGCTTGCTATTAAGTAACTTGGGCTTAAATATTTTGGGTTGCGTTAGTGGATCCACTTTCTTCAAATTACTTGAGCCAGCAGGTTGTGAGACGTGACAAATAGTACAATAGCCGACTTGTGAAAACAACCATCTGGGTCACTGTTCTGGACTGACCACGAGCTTATCGTGGCATTCTAATTGATTATGGACCCTTTGCTTGGGTCAATAAGACACCACTGTCCAGCACTAAGTAACTTGGGCTTAACCGTTTTGGGTCATGTTGTAGACCCACTTTCTTTAAGTAAATTTTGTAGATAACTATCTTCACTTGCCACAAATAAATCACAGCTACGTTACTAAGGCTGCAAATTTGAATAGCTCAAATCTTCAAAGAAACGAAGACTCTATTAAGGTACACATACAAATTCCAAACTTCCCTTAGCTGAACCCCATTTTGTTACTACACAATAATACCTAGTCTTAGATTTATGTTGCATTGCTTCAGGGAAGTGTCCCCTTCATGACAAGTAGGAGAGGTTAAAATTAGCCAACAATGATTAGAGAAGGGAGGCGGGGACAAGAAAAAGTCATTATCTTGAGCAGCTTGTATTATCAGGTCCATATAATGATTAATCAAAAAATGCCTGAACTAAAGCAAGACACATATACCATGATTAATAAATCCCTGAAAATGCATACCAAAGTGCAGGAATAGAGATACCTGGAAAACTTTGATGAGCTTCAGCTCACCTCTACGCTTGATCTCGAAACCTTTAAGCTCTGCAAGGGTCCCGTCATCATTAAACACAGCATATCGCTTCTTAATTAAAATGCCTTCTTCCTTAGAAGCTGGAAGAATCATTGCCTACATGCCAGAAACAGCTCCCAAATAACCAATTTGAATATGAGGCCAAAAATATATATATATATATATATATATGTAGATAAAACTTAAAATCCAATAAGTTACTGTTCAACATTACTTAAACGGTCATCCCATTTACCTTATAGGGTCCATCCACTTCAAATTCAATTGAGCATTCACTATGTGTTGTATACGTTCTATTAATAGGATCTTTGAGTGTCTGTAAGAAATAGCAATTAGAAACAGTGATTTATACACGGATATGCAGAATGCTTCAGAAAGTCATTATACTGAAAAAAATAAAGCTCAAGTAAAGAAGAATACTTGCTAATGCATATGAAGGTAGGAGAATCAAAAATTCAAAAAAACAAAAAAAGAAAAAAGGAACTTAATTTTCATCTAACCTGGTACTGATCATTTGTATTGTTCCTTGCAACATCAACATTAAGCATAACACAAGGATATGAAATTGTCAGCTTCTTCTTTGAGTCTCTGAAATGTATGTTCCACAAAAATGGTCAGTATCTTCACTAATACCATGCAAAGCGGACCAATGGTTAAATTCTTTCAAATCAAAATGACTTGGATGATACATCTAAAACATTTTATTATTTATATATCGTTGTCTATAAACAACAAAAAATTCAGAAAAGAAAAAAAAAAAAAAAAGAAGAAGAAAAAAGGATGATTTGAATGTGACAGTTGTAATATGAATCAGGGAAAGAAAAGACATACTTTGTTTTAAAGGTGAAGTTCTCTGGGAATGATCCAGGTAAAGCACACCAGATACCATCTGTGTCTAATTCAAGTGGCCGTCCAATTTTCTCAACAAGTAAACGAGCATTTTGAATGATTTTTGCACCAGTATATGTAACAACTCCAGCCATTTCCATAGAGTACCATCTTGCACCCCTGGAATGAAACCATGTAACACATAAATCAACAATTATTAAAGCATACAAGACCATACAGAAAACCCAATCAGGAGCAAAATCTCAGAACTAGATAGTAACAGAAACTCACTTGCGCATGACGTATCCATAGAAGGAATTGAGAATACACTTATGAGCCAGTTGTAATGAATCATAGACTACTACCATATCCTGCAAAAATTAATAAGCAAGGACAGTGACTAAAGGAGGATGGTTCCGAAACCATTACAAATTAACTAAATTTAAAATGTCTAAAAATGAGGAAGAAAAAATGAACAAGAAAGTTCTGGCAATCATACTTGTGCTTCTTGGATCTTTATAGAATTTCCACTAGCCTTTGCTTCTGACAGCTTGCCCTTCCAAACTTTATTGAGTCCTTTGTACTCATACCTTCTATCTCGAAAGCTTAAACAAGAACAAAAGAAAATGTTTATTTAGTCAACCCAATATATTCTTTGCCAGGTTCTCTGTAGCAAATAATTGCATGCTCCTTATTTGTTTAACAAGATGCCTAGAACTGTGAGTACATAAATGTGAATAAAAGGATGAGAATCAAACAAAATTTAAGCTTCTTACCTGCGGACAGTATCCACATAAAAAGAGTTTTCCCGCATGCAGATCCCAGCTTCTCGAAGCTCAGTTACAGGCTTGTTGAGTACACGTTTGTATGCCTATTGAAGGCAATTCAACATAGCTTGTAAGGAGTTACTCAAGTAAACATTTGCTTTAGAGACAGTGATGAACTAGGTACTGCAGACACTTCTAAGGAGAAACCATGTTCATGTTGGACTTTAACACTTCTTGGACACTTCAAGAAGCATGTCCTATAATTCTTTGAAGTTCCCCATTTACGAATGAAATTTCATAATTTTAGATACTTTGACAACACTTTTCGCACACTCCGCAATACATCCTATGATGTCTCTTAATAGGAACAAAGTCCAACATCTTGGTATGCAACTCACTCACCCCAAATCTATTTTAAAATATTTTATGAAATAGAAATTACATATGCATGTCCAACATAAAGTATGGAATGAACAACTTCTAATCTAGGAATAAAACATAGTAATCAAGATTAAAATATATACACATATATAGTAAGAAAGTAAGTAGTGGGATTATGCATTATATACATGATATTTATGCAGCTTCATCTTCCTTATTTTGTAACTTCACGTAGAAATATAATTAGATAATAAATTAAATTACATGTTGCTGTTATATAATATGTGAAAAGTAAAATAAATACATAAAATGGTGTCCATGCAGTGTCCGTGTCCTACTTTCTAGGATTTTCTCTGTCAACATGTCCATGTTCATACTACATAGGTGTTGAAATATACCTTTTGACAGTACTTCTTTAGACGCTCCTTGAGTTTCAATTGCTGCTCCATTTTTGGCAGGTCAAGAAAAGATTTTGACAACTGGCCATCTCCACTATCAACAAACTCGGACTCAATTTGCCTCTTCAAATGATAGTAGTCACTGATATTTCCAAATTGATGTCCACAAACAATAATCAGTTGCAGTCACTCATCAAATAACCCTGAGAACAACAGAGGAATAAAATAGACCTTTTCTTTGCCATGTACGTCTCCCCACGCCAGACCCACTCAAGCTTCCGAAGACAAGTTTTGCCTGGCCGGTTGAAATCACATGCAGTACAGACCTCATCTGAGACTATTGATGATGGCTGGAATTAGGCAAAAATAAATCTTTCAAAACACTAATTGTAAAGATACTTCTTATGTAAGACAAAATCCAAGCCACTAATTGAAAAAATGCACTAAGAATTCTGATAAAAAAATCGCTAAACTAATTGAGCAAGAAGGATAAATGTATATCAAGACGATACATCTCGAACAAAAGAAAAAATAAAAACACATCAACAATCAAAAGTTGCATGTTCCATGATGCTAGCCCAAAATTAATAACTCAGTCTAAAGGCATAACTCTGACATGAAACCAAGAATAGACTGACTAAGCCCTAATTCAGGAAATGACAGAAATATATATATATATATATATATATGTATATGTTTATTGTCATTGAACAAAATTATGTGAAAAATAAAAACTAATTCAAGATGTGGACAAGCAAACATGCATCATCAACGGATTTTTCTTAATAAACAAATCCACTAATTGAAGAGAACCAAAGGCAACAGCCATTGATGCAGGGCTACATATCTACTTTCCTTTTGAAAGCTAATATCAATGAAACAACAACTTGAAAAGACCACAGAAGGACACCTTCCTAGTTAGAGAAAAGGGGAGCAAAGAAAATTCATCTGCTGAGGAACTCTTTCGAGCTTGGAAGCAAGAAAATTACTAGACCCACCAAAACAAATTACTAGGGGCCATTTTCTCCTAACACTAAAAGAAAAGGAAAGGCCCCAAGCTATGAAACAATACATAAGATAATTAACAGTTTCATCCCCCCCCCCCCCCCCCACAAAAAGGATAAAGGAAAAAGAAAAGAAAAAGAGTCCATACAATGAATATTAGCTTAGAATGAGCATACATATCCTATAATATTCAACCAAAAATTACCAGCCTTTTCTTTGGATATTGAAGGTGGATTTCTAATCCACTAGAACACCTCCTCCAAAAAATTATATCATCACCCTCTTGGCAATTATTGGTGTTGCATGAAACCATCAAACAATTACAAAATTTCCAGTAGTTGTTTTCCAAATCACAGTTCTCTCGAGTATCCACTCATTGAATGACTGACGGTCCACTATCTCTATGCTCAAATTTTCGGTTTTGCCAATTGTGTAAAAATGTTGCAAGAGAGAGAAACTAAAAATGTCACGACCCCAAACCGCCCCTAGTAGTTTGGTGCCGTGATGGCCAGTAATCCGTAATTACCGAAGGCCAACTTCCAAAAACTTAACCAATCAGAGTATGGATATAGGGGGCTCACAAATGCGGAAGCGATAAATCAAATACAAGTGGTCCATAAGAGCTGTGCGTAGATCAAAGAAATGCCAATTAAGAAATTACTGGGAATTACTTAAATACAACAAGGCAAAAACA